TCCGCTTTGTTAGGCCTGAAGGAGGCATCTGCCCTTGGGGAGGTTTGAATTCCCTGTCACATCTCTTCAGTTCCCTGGACCACGAGGGAGGCAGGAACTCATCAATTACAGGCAGCTCAGATCCCTAGCTCGGTTTCCAAAGCACTTCTTGTTTTTCAAGCCCCATATTCCCAGAACGGGCAAGTTTCCCTTACTGGGAGGTAGGGAAAGTCGGGAAGCTGCAAGTGGAAATCTTTAGCCATCAGGGATGAGCGCAAGCTGGTGGAGTCCGGTGTCACAGCAGGCGTCCCGGGGCTTCCCTGGCTTGCTGCAGGGCTACAGCTGCTCCTCTCTCCCAGATGCCCGGGTCTTGACCCAGAGCTCCTAATCCCTTGGAATTTCCTGGTGACCGGGTGTCAGGAGGGTCTGTTTCTCAAATCAGGGGGACCCTGGGTGGACTACTGCATAGGAATAGGTCACCCAAAAGACCAAACAGTGATCAGAACCAGTGCCTCCTTGTCCTCAGGTAGCAGGAAGAGCTGAGAATTGAGTTCATAATTGGCCATGCCTATGTGATGATGCCGCTGGAGAAATCTGTAAAGATGGAGTCCCTGCAGTTTTCGGGTTACCAAATGTACCCTAACTCCACAGGTGCACTTGGGACTCTTCTAGACTTCACTCTATGCTTCTTCACCTGGCGAAAGCAGCCTTTATAACTAACAATAGCAAGTTAGCTGTTTTCCAGGATCCTATAACTCACTTAGCAAATTATCAAACCCATCAAGAGAGTGGTGAGACTTTGTGATTTGTGGCCAAATTATTGGTGACCTGGTACTTACTACCTGCAATTAGCACCTGACATGAGAGGCTTTGTTAGGGGCACCGAGTTCTTAACCTGTGAAGTCTGTGTTAACTTTGGTTCATGGCAAAACTGCATCCACTTGGAGGTTGAGCTGCATTTGGAGCTGGCATTTCTTCTTATAAGGACATTAATCCCACTGGACCTGGGCCTCACCCTCATGACTTCATTCATACATAATGACTTCCCAAAGGCTTCTCATTTCCAAATACCATCACAATGGAGGTTAACAACTCAAACATGCAAACTATGAGTTTCTTTTGAAGGGGAGGGGGTTGACACAATTCAGTCCACAGAAGGCAGCAAACACTAATTCAAAGAATGTTACTAAGACATTAAATTTTCAGCTTGTTGATGGTTCCCAGACTAATTGGCAGACTTTGTGTCACAGAAGGACAGAAGGGATTCTGTATGCAACAGTGTTTACCCATCTTTTCCTTTTATTTATTTTTGAGCACTCTCCCAGGCATCACCCTAAGGGAAGAGTCTAGAACTGACCTTCCCATGGGAAGACAGAAACAGACAAATCCAGGGCACTGGATGCATGTGGGGCTGGAAGGATGGAAGGTACCTAGGAGCATGGAGGAGGAACAGACCAGACTTCTTCGGATGCAGGGAGGGAGTCCGGGAGGGAGTTCTGTGCTGGGCCCGAAGTCCCAAAGAATGATTAAAAGGTGTGCGAAGGGCCTCCTGGCAGAGGCTACAGGAGGCACTGCTCTGAAGATCTGACACCCCACAGGTGCCCAGGGCCACACCATGAACTCACGCTAACCAGTGACCCGAAATCAGTCTAGACAGACCATGTTATCAATGGAGCACTAGAAACCACCCAGACACACAGGCTTTAGTGGATTTTATTCTGTCTTGTTGTAAATAGGCTGGTATCGTGAGTGATTTCACTGGCTGAGAAGTTCAGCAGGCTGATTTCAGCTGGCTGAAGAGAAGCTGAGTTTTTGTAGGGTTTGGGGATGGGGTTATAATCCCAAGGAATCTGAGTGGAATGCTTGGGATAAAGTTTTCTAGGATGGTCAGTGCATGTGTGTAGATAATACTGAACTTTCTAGCGCCGCGGAGATTTTATGTCCCATCCTAAATTTTCTTTATGGCCATCTGTTCTGTTTGTAAGGGAAGCATGGCCCTTTAAGGGTTTTCTATTGTTTGTGGAGGGTGACATGTTTGCTGAGAGGGTCTCTCAGATCAGACATGACAGATTCCAGCTATAAACACTTACGGTTAGATTGTGAGGGGTGAATTTTACTCTGAATTAAGGGGAGCCCTGAAGGAGTTTAACCAGGGAAGTCATATGTGAGATTCACAAAGAGAAGGATTTACCAGGCAGCCCTGTGGAAATTGACTGGCTAGAAGGAGGGGCTGGTGACAGGGTGGGAGTTACCAATCCTGACTAGTGATATGGGAGGGTTTACAGTCAAAGAGGAAGGCAGGATAAAGAGGAAGGGAGGGGTTTTAGAGATGTTGGAGGAAGAGGTGTCAAAACTTGGGTAGGGGAAGGAAAGGAAATGCCAATGTAGGTCCCAGGGATAGAGGACAAAAACTACAACTGAACCAAGGGAGAAGCATCACCAGAGAGTCTCAGACGCTCTTGCCTGAGGACCTAACGGCTTTGGGATTCCCAACAGCACACAGAGACAAGTCAAGTTGATTGGTGAGGCATGCAGATGTAGGAAGACAAAATAAGAATTTCTTGTTTTTTTTTGTTCCTTCCCTAGACATTGCTGTCATTCTCTGACCCAATCAGCAGCATTTGCATGGTCTCAAAGAGATTTAGAATGTAAGAATTCTTAAGCAGAGACAAAATGTTAATTCTTTCCTTTTTAAAAATCTTTGACACTAAACCTTTGGAAGTCAAAAGGCAAGGGCCTCGATGGAGCACAAGTTATCATTTATATCCGAACAGTACTGGCGCCAGTGTTCCTTCAGGCCCAGTCAGCCAAGAGTCAAATAGAGAGCAAGCTCTTTTGCTAAGCTAAGCCATGAAACCAGGGCTTTAAATACAGAAAGAAATAACTGATGCAGGTTGGGTGCTGCTTCCCATGATTACTGCCGAGGGTGCAGGATTTAGAAATTAATGGTTGCATTTCACAGGCAACAGCATTAATTTTGTAAAGTTCAGATGTTCCTGTGAATAATCTCCAGAGATGCGTTTATGGTTATACAATAGAGAACAGGGCAGTTACAAGCCTGACACAAGGGCTTTCATTCTCTCACATGCTTTTGGCCTCATCTTACACCTGTGTCAATAACTTCATCTCCCCAGAGTTTCTTTTCACAAGCAATGGTTAATTAAGGAGCTTTTGCGTTCTGGCTTCAGGCAGGATTTTATTAACCAGCAAGAACAGGACATAGAGGGCTTGTAAAAAGGTAGGGCTTAATAAAAAAATGTAGAACATATATTTAAAGAAAAATGGTGCGGTGATACTATGCTCTTGCCAAAAAAAAAAAAAAAATTAGAAAGGGATTAGAGGGAAGTGAGATAAGATCCTATGTTTCTTTTTTTTTGTTTTGTTTTGTTTTTTTCCTTTTTATCTGTACCGCGGATCGAACTCACGACTGCGTGCTTTCGAGCCAGGCATTTATGCCGCTGAGCTAAATCCCCAGCCCCAGATCCTATGTTTCTATGCATAGAAGAGGTGACTCAAATGGCAAGAATCCAGAGAGAGAGATAGAGGAAATGAATGCATTTGTTAAAAAGGAAATCCAAACCCAACACGTGTTCAAATCCTTTACTAATTATTAGCTCTGTGACTTTAGGCAACTTACTTAGCTTTTTTTTGCCTCCGTTTCCTCATTTCAAAATTGAGGTTTATGACCATAGTAACTTGTGTGGTACAGTTATGAAGAATGAGTTAGCATATGTAAGACACTTAAAACAATGCCTGACACAACAGATACTAAATAAATGCTTGCTATTGTTGCTGTTGTTTGATTTTGAAGAAAAAGCATTATTAGAAGAGGTGATCATAAAGATTTAGAAAGGTGATTTGGATGCCATGTGGGAGAGGAAGCATGGGCTGTAAAGTTCTCCAATTTATCACCTGGGGCAGCAGGGAAGATATTTTCTCCTGAGACTGGGGAGTTGGGCTAAAAACGGCTATAGATGTCCTTTGAAGGGTAGAAGTTGTGCAAGAGTCTTTGGATGATCTCCACTTCTTCTTCTTCTTCTTCTTCTTCTTCTTCTTGCTTTTTGAGACAGGGACTCACTATATAATTCAAACTGGTCTTGAACTCACTATGTAGTGCAGGCTGGGCTCGAACCCATTGTGATCTTCCTGCCTCAACTTTTCAAGTGCTGGGATAACAGCTATGCACCACCATGCCGGGCTTCTGTTTTACTGAGTAGCTAAAGAGGTGGGTAGAAGAAATTGTCACTTCTTATTATTCCCAGATACCTGCTCCTCACAGATCTCCTTCTGCCTTCTTTCCAGTATGATCCAACACAACACAGAACATGGAATGATCAATAAATTCTTCTTGATTGCTTTGACAGAACATACAAAGTCAAAAAACGATTTTTCCCCATTAAAAAAATTCCAATTCATGATTGTATATGAAGATACATGCAAAACCATCCATTTCTCTTAGACTTACAGTGGCCACTATAGATATAAAACATGCCCCCACATGGGCTGAGATCGTTTTTAAAACTTAGAAGTAAAATAGGTAGTAATGTAAATGCAATTGCTGTCACCAGGACAGTACACTGAGTGTGCAGGGGTGTTTGTGTGTGTGTGTGTGTGTGTGTGTGTGTGTGTGTGTACAAAAGCACTCTAATAAGTAGATGTGCCACGTCTATGATAAAACCTTTAAAAAAAGTCACTTTTTTTCTACGTCCACCCTTAATGCTGATTTTCCTCCAAGTGCTGAAAAAGGCACTGTCTTTGAATGTGTATCACGTCGTGCTCCCGTTAGGAAAATACTCCAATTTTTCCCATTGAACGAGTTGGGAAGGTGGCTATAATCTTTTTCACCGGAATTTGTTCCTCTGAAGGGCGGACCGTGGCTGTAAAATCAGTACATCCTTTCTTGAACTTCTCTTTCTCCCACTTGTTTTGAAAGAATCCGCATCTGGCAGCCGGTAGAACCAGAAAGCAAAGAAGACTGACAACCCTCAGGGTAACAGCGAGTTGGGCGTGTTCTGTCCTTCGCGGGCTTCCGTAGTTCAGGGCCGCCCCAGGGCGGGGCATAACGGTGGCGCGCGGCCTTTTCAAAGCGTGAAGCGTTCGAAACACAACGGCCGTTGGCAACCTGTGCACCGCGCCGAGGTAGCGTCTGGTACCGGTTGTCGTCACCTCGCGACTCTGGTAACGGGAGCTATCAGCTTTTCTCCCCTGTTCTTAAGCCTTGTTTTTAATTGGAGTAAGGGGAGCCCTCGGTGCCCCGGAAGGACCGCGGCGGGGGTCTGGGAGACTGCGCCGTCCCGAGAACTGGCCGGGAAAGGGGTGGGGGGGTCGGGCCGGTGACTCGCGGGCTGGGTGGCGCTTTCGGGAAAGAAACTCTTTTTCCCTGGGGTGTGGAGAAGGAGGAAGCCCAGTCTCTCCCAGCCTCTTCGCGTCGCTTCCTGTTTTCTAAAAGGCGGTTTGGCCCGAGTCACGACCAGGAGGACCTGACCTTAGCCTGGGAACACTGGGCCGGGGCGGACGGTCCCGGGGTCCTGGGGAGGGGGACCTTTCTTATAAGGCTCTCCTTTACTTTCGGCTCTCTTCTGTTGTGAGTTTTTCTCATCACCTCCCATTTTTCTCCTGCTTTATTTCTCCGTCGTCCTCTGCACCCCTCGGCTTTGCCACCATTGTTTCGTTGAGTCCCGGGGTAGTTTCGGGTCGGAAGCGACCGATGGCTGACCCATAGATCCGCTGGTTAGCCTTTATTGAGTCCTGGCAGCTTTGGATATAGGCTCTTGGTGATGCTTTATCTTCGTAGGAGACCGTGAGCAAGGGTTAGTGTGGCTGTTAGGGGTGCCCTGCAGGTTGTACGTACGGACTGTGAGACAGCGTTTGGGTGCGTGGATAAAAGCCGTCTGTCATTGGCTAAGTGAACCCAGCTGAGCGAGCAGTCAGGCACAGGGTTGCCTTCGGACAGCTGTGAAAGGAAGAGATGTGATATAATTAGTGCAAATAATCTAAAAGTGGAAAATGAGACTGAGCCCTCAGGTGGCTCTAAAATACGAGAGAATGTTATGTAATGTTTATTTCAGCCTAGTTTTTGATAGGCAGTGACTTTATAAATAAAAATTCTGCCGCATCTGCGTATTCAAATCCTCGAGCAAGGAGAATCGCTGTGACTCCAAGGCTAGCCTGGGCTGGCTACACAGTGAGTTCAGGACTAGCCTAAATACATAGCAAGACATTGTCTCAAAAAACCAAACTAAAACAAAACAAAACAAAAATCTTAACTTGTGTTGTATGAGAAAAGGCTGTGAGACTTTCACCTGGCCCTACTTGCCAAAGTTTTGCTTTCTCCTTTGCTGGCTCCTCTGGCTGCTTTTTTCCCCTACATTTTTTTTCCTTTTGGTATCAGGAATCGAACTCAGGACCTCGCTCTTGCCAGGCAGGCGCTGTGCTACTGAGCTATATTCCCCAGCTCTTTTCTTTTCTATTTCTTGAGTTGAGACCCTAGAACAAACTGCCTCTTCTCTTTCTACATGGATGCCTTCTGTCAGTGGTGGCAAACCTACGTGGGCTGTTTATATCGCTGAAAGTTCTGTTACTGTGTTTTTCTTTTCAGGTATAAGTTGCTTTCTCTAAATGAAAACCTCATGCTCAGGTTTAATTGCAGTGTTGGCACTTCACTATAAAAAGGTGGAGGGGGTGTGGGGTTGCAGTTTGGGCATTCGATTTCTAAAAATTTTGCCATGGTTTCCCTCTGTGTCCTCACCTAGTTTCTTGTGTGCACTGGTAACCCATAAACTACTGTCTTCAGCTTGGATTTCAGATTGCCTATTTAACATTTGCACCTAGAAGTCTAAAAAGACACCTGAAAATGAGCTCTCAATTTCAGTGATACCCTCATGTTTTCAGTTGGCTTGGTCTAGAAAAGTTGGAGCCATTTTTGACTTTTTTATATTCTTAATCCTTGTTCAACTGTCAGGAAATCAGGACATTTTCTGGAAAATTCCTATAACTGGGATCATCATATATGTGACCTTTTGCATCTAGCTTCTTTTGCTACTTATTTTCAAGGTTTATTCATGTTGTGGAGCAGTTTATCTTGTATAACAATGTACTGTACATCCATAGTTTATTCCTTTTTATAACTAACATTTTATGTATATACTATTACTTGGTTTATGCATTCATAAGCTAATGCATGCATAAAGGACATAAAAGACCTGTTTATAACTCCTGGTGAGAGAGAGACTATGTACTTTTATTTTTGGTACCAGGCATTGAATTTAGGACCTTGCACTTTCGAGGCAGACACTTACATTGTTGAGCTATATCCCTGGCTCCTACTATGTACCTTTTTGAACTAGGTTTTTAAAAAAAATATAGTATTACTTATATTATTTTTTATATCTTATAATTAAAATATCAGTAACTGTAATAATATGGATAAATAATTGTACCTCTTTCGGTTTTTTCACTGTAAATAAAATTGAACTAAATATTTGCTGAGGTCGTTTTCATTTTCATATTTTGTTTATATGACAAAATGAGTGCTAATGTTAACATGTTTTCTTCATGAATGAGAGCTGTATTCTTTATAACAGCAGTTAACTTTTGTTTATTTTCATTATAGGACCTAGAGTGGTTGTTATAATGGAAGGAATCAATAATTTGGAGACACCAAACAAAGTATCTGAAAAAAGAAAATCTGGTGAGAAATCTGGTAACTTCTAACCAGACACCTTCTTCATTATTGTTGCTATAGAAGTGTCTTTGTGGTATTGTAGTTGGCTCCTTTATTGTCTTTCACACAGCTAACTCCTCTTAATGAACACAACTAATAGAACAGAGTTTATTCACCTGTGGACTGTTTTTTGTCAGCACCCTAATATACTAAAAGCTGCATCTGGTGAAGAATCCCTTAACAACTCACTTTATGTTTCCCTTTCCTTCCATACATTGTTCTCACGAGGGAAAGGTATTTTCTAAGGCAATTCAATGAGTAAAGAGAAATCTTCAATAAATAAATATGTCTATGTCCAAAAAACAGATCACAACCTTTTACTCACAGCATACACAAAAATGGCTAAAATAAGAAAATTTCGTGATAACATAAGAGAATTTTAGGCTGTTCATTTCTGGTGTAAGGATTTTTTATACTCTGCAGCAATGCTAAACTTGCTAGCTTTTTATTTAGTTTTTTTCTTTTTTCTGGCACTGGGGGTTGAAACCTGCCAAGGGCTATATCCTTAATACTTTTTCAAATGTTTTATTTTGAGACAAAGTCTCATTAGATAGTCCCCACTTTCCTTGCCCTTGCAATGCTCCCCACCCTCTCTAATAGCTGGAGTAATAGGTGTGTGCCACTGTGCCTGGCTCTGGTAGCTTTTTTATAGATTGCTTAGGGTATTGCAAGTAGTTGGTCATGTGTAGATGACTAAACGCACTTTACTTTTTCACCAGTCTATCTGACTGACTCTTAACACACTGGCTCCAGTATATTTTTGAAGTGTTCATATGCATACCTGCCTTGCTCCCAATGTATAATATTAGATGTAGTTTTTTTCAGATGCCCTTATCAGGTTGAGACATTTTCCTTTTGTTCCTAGTTATTATGAATAGGTATTAAATTTTGTCAAGTACTTTTTCTGAATCTGTTGATATAATTAAGTTGTCTTTTTTTAATCTGTTAAGGTGACAAACTGTATTGTTTTCAAGTATTAAACCAACCTTCATTCCTGGAGTAAAACCAGTGTAGTCAAGAGGCATTTTATATATTGCTTGATTTGATTTGCCAGTTACTTTCTTTATTCATGAGAGCTACGAAACAGTAGTTGTCTTCTTTTAGAATGTCTGTCTAGTTTTGGTATATTGCATTCTGTATTCCTAAAGAAGGATGGAAAGTATTTTCTTGGAGAGAAATACTTTATCCGATACTTCTTGACTACTTGATAGAATTCTCCGTTAAAACGGTCTGGGCCTAGAGTTTTCATGCTAGGAAGATTTTTAACTGATTTCAGTTATTCAAATCACCTGTTTTTCATTTATGAGTTTTGCTTATGTTTTTGAGGAACTTGTCTGTTCCTTCTAAGTTGTCAAATTATTGGCCTAAAGTTATTTTTATGTACTCCAATTACCGTTTCTGTAATTTCTGATGCTGCAGTTTCATATTTTCTTTTTGCCTTAGCCCATTAGACTTGAGGTTTATCTATCTTGGTGACTGTGGTGTGTAGTTGAAAAGGTCAGATTTTCCTCTGTTGCTGGGTGGGATGTTCCGTACCTGTCAGGCCATCTGGTTGGCCTGTTTATATTGTTTTGTTCAGGTCTTCTACATCCCTACTGATCTTTCTGTGTACTTAACCTTAATCATGGAGAGAGTAGCGGTGACGTCTCTGACTACTGTTACAGATTTGTCTGTGTTTCCCTTCAGCTCTGTCACTCTTTGTTTCTTGTATTGTGAAGAATTGTTAAGCACACACATTTAGGATGGTTATTTCTTTCAATAAACTTACCCACTATTATAAAACCCTTTTTTTAAACTCCTGGGTGGTACTCTGTTCTGAAGCCCATGTTGTGAGATACACAGTAGAGCCACCTACCTTTGTTTTGATTGGTGTTTGAGTATATGTTTTCCAACCTTTTACATAATTTTGTTTTTATATTTAAAATTTATTGTAAAGAGCATGTACTTTGCATTTTGTTTTTATCCGTTCTGGTAATTTCTGCTATTAAGTGAACTGTTTCAGTATCAGGCACATGTGGCTATTTTAATTTGGATTCAAATTAATTGAAATTAAACAGAAATATTTTCTTAAGTTACTTTTTTCATTGCTGCAACAAAATACCCAACACCCAGAGTGAAAGGAGGAAAGGTTTATTTAGCTCAGTCTGTAGCAATTTCAGTCCATAAGGGGCTGGCTCAAGGCAGGGTGGTACATGGCAGAGGGCACCAGTTCATGGCCGCAGACGACAGCAGAAGCAACGAGAGAGACAGAGACAGAGACAGACAGACACAAAGCCTCTTTTTGTTCCTTCTATTGTATCTGGTCTACTGGGATTAAGGTGATGCCAGTCCAACCAGTGGACTATCCGGCAGTCATCCACCCTTAATCCCAGGATAGTACTATAAATCAGTCACAGACTGAATCAGCCACCTCTGAAAAAACTGATCGCAGGAGGCTGCGAGGAAGCATCCAGACGCAAACCATGAGGTTTATGTTGTACTAACACATTTCAAGTGTTTGGTGTCAGTCTGTGGCTAGCGGCTGCATACCAGACAGCATAGACACAGAGCATTTTCCTCATGGCAGAATTTATTGGACAGCGCTACATGATGCACATTTTATAGTATTATCTGTGTTAGATTTAAATCTGCTGTTTTGTTGTCATCCCATACCTCACTGATGATTTTTTCCCCTGATCTTTTTCTCTTATATGCTTAAATGTTGGTAGTTTTTGTTGCTTTATCTTAAACTTGTTAGCCTTATTTCTGCCCTATAATGATGTTATTATTACTGTTATATTTTTTATTCTTTGAAGTTTCATTAGGGCCTTTTTTAAACATCTTTTTTACTCATTATAGTGTTCTTTTAAGATTTATATCTTTTTATGATTTCTTATCTGTTAATTCCACCATCCCTGTGAGTTGATGGTATCTTTGCTTTGGTTTATTTTTCAACTAGTATGGATCATATTTTTATGCTTCTTTTGTACCTGGTATTTTTATGTTTTGAGACAGGGTCTTGCTCTGTGGTTTAGGCTGGCATTAAACACACCCAGGCTAGCCGTCAACTCATGGATTCTCCTGCCTCACCCTATCAAATGCTGGCATTACAGGCATGTACCACCACGGCTGGCTTTTACCTGGTATTTTTTTACTAGATGTTAGATGTTTTATATCGCATGCTGCATTTTGTTATTTCTTTTAACATCTTTAATTCATTAAGGTGTAAGAATAACATACTGCACATTAGTCTCTTCCTTCTGAGACTTGTTTTTTTGGTTTTTCTTAAATAGACTTTTCCTTAAGCTAAAATTTAGTGTACTACTGCTTGTGTCCCTTTAGAGGATTCTGCTTCATACTTTGTAAAAGGAGCTTACTCCTAGACTTGTGATTTTAGACCACCATTTAGCCTATTGCCTTCTTGGCTTTGGGGAGCTTCTCCATTATATGTGCAGGTAAGTACTTAGACAAACGCTTAGTGAGAGACTTTTTCAGATCTGTGGAGAGACCTCCTTTTTAGTTTCCTCCTTTTAGTTGTCTGCTCTACAAAATCTAGTCATTAAAGGCTTCTTGACCTCTAATCTCTCCGCAGTTTGACAAGACTGCTGGGCTCTGTCAGGTTTCCTAGTTCAAGGTGAGAGGCAATTCCAAGAGCAATTTCATGATAAGCAGGAACCCCCCCCCCCTTTTAAGGATTTGTGGTGCTCTAATATATACTGTAGTAATGCTTCTGATGATACTCTCTTAGGGTTTTGGCTTTCTTTTTAGTTACAAAAGCAGATTCCAATATTCAAATATATGTGTGCCCATGCATATGTGTGATCTCTTTCTTTGGACACATGCTGTGATACATGGGTCAGCAAATTTGAGGAAAGGCCAGAAAGTGCGTAATTTAGACTGAGAGGACCAGACAGGGACTCTGTTGTATATTATTTGTTTACTTTTCAATAGTACTTTAAAAATGTAAAAGTAATTCTTAGCTGTGAGTCATGTAAGCCAGGTAATTTACTAATTTCTGCTTCAGTGTTAACATAGGATAGAATTGTTAAAGTAGACTTGATCAAAAGGTATCCATTTAAAATTAGGATTGACAGGCCCGCTCCCCTGTAATCCCAGCAGTCAGGAGGCTGAGCAGGAGGATCACTGTAAGTTCTCAGCCTGGGCTGCAAAGTGAGTTCAGACTGAACGCCTGAACTGTGGAGTGAAAGCCTGTGTCAAAGAGAACCTCCCCTGCCCCCCCAAAAAAGATGAGGATTGATAACTGTCAAATTATTTTCCACAAAGACTATGCCATTTAACAATCCTAACAGTTATTAGAGTGCTTTGCAGAGGATTTTTCAAATACTAATTTTGGTTTTTGTTTTTCTTTCTGATGTTTAGTATTATCAACTCCGTATAAAAATATTCCTCCCTCTCCATTTATGCAGAAGCTTGGCTATGGAACTGGGGTAAATGTTTACCTAATGAAAAGGTGAGTGTAAGATTTCAGCTTAACCTTTTTATCAGGACTAAGTAAATTGAGAACATCACAACTTGGCACATGTTCCTAGTCCTACCTGACTGCTGTGTTCCAGTCCCTAGAAGGTGGGAAACTGCCAGAGTTCTGCCTGGTGAACATAAAGCTTCCTCCTCTGGATTAGTGAGGAGAAATAGTTTAGTTGGTAATTTCTCCTTGGCTTCTCTAAGAAGGGCAGTGGCAAGGGAAGGGTTTCCTGTGTAGCATAAGGATTGACTACATAGCACAAGGCTGAACGACAGGATTTCCATGAGAAAACCTCAAGGAGGAAGCCAGTTATGGCAATGCCAGTGACTGAGCCCTCTTCTGCCCGAGAGTCGCTGTCCCAAGATCTTCCCTTCTTAAAGAAGATGGGTTTTTCCTTCTTAGGGATTCATTATTAAGAAGAGTAAATACATGTTTTTAAAGCTTTTAAATCATGTTGAAGAAAAATGAAGTGAAAAGTATGGTTCTAATGTTTAAAAGTGTGGTTCTAATGTCCCAGGTGAACTGGTCAGTAATACAAGTATCAGTAGTTTTGTTCTCAATTTATTTCTTTTAATCATTACTCTTTGTCTATTTCCCTGTTTGTTAAATGGCAGGCAACTAAGTCAAATCTGTATTTCTTAATTTTTAGTTGAATCACCTTATTAATTCAACCTTCTTACAGTAGCTTCAGTTCAGCTAGATTTATGTTATGTTCAAATACAAATACTTTCTTTAATGAGGCTAATGAATAGAGATATTCTAGCAGTTAGATTCAAGGTGGGTTGGTTGGTTTGTTTGTTTTGAGACAGGGTCTCAGCATGTAGTTCAGACTGATCATGAGCTAACTGTGTAGCCCATTTGAACATGCAGCTGCCCTCTTGCCTGAGCCTCCTGAGCGCTATGTGAAGGCACAGAGGCTGTCCTCCACACCCTGCTCCTGGAACGCATTTGAGTTTAAATACCCCTTTGTGTATTTGCATGTTATTTCTCTTGTAAACACTTATTTTTCTTTTTTAGGAGGCAGGTTTTTTGTGTTTTATTTTGAGGGTTTATTTCTGTTTTGGGCTTTCAAGACAGGTTCTAGCTCTAACCCAGGCTGGCCTCAGATTCTCAATGATCCTCCTGCCTCAGCCACCCAAGGAGTGGGGTTATAGGCATGCGCCACCACATCTGGCTGGTACTGCTGTACCTTTCCTTGCTTTATTTTCCTATGTTCTCTATTGTTCTGCTCTTGTTTTCTGAGAAATTTCCTCAATTTTATCTCATAAGGCTTCTATCTAGTTTTTCTTTTCTTTTTTTCTGTCTTGTTTTGAATTTCCTTTTTGAAAATAGCATACTAAGTCCCTTGGAGTGCTAGAAAGGTTCTCTGCCTTGATCTAGATGTGTGACATACTTCTGTATGTACACATGTAAAGACTGAGTATTTAGTAAGCATAAGGTCATTAATTCTTGCCCTACCATGCTTCGAGAATTTTGAGCTGCTAGCAAACTGCGCTGCAGAGCCTATGTTCACCTCCCCTCAAAGGCACACTTGAGTCCTCAGACACAGGAGCTGGAGACTGCTAAGTGATGCCATCTGGGGGCTGGTATCCAGGAGCCCACTGGCTTTCCACATGACTTGCAGACATTTCACTGGGCCTGTTAAGTTGCTTATTTTATCAGCTTGCCACCTTCTAAAATTTTGTTGCTGTTGTCTCCTCTGCAGTTATTTCTATTCTTGTACATGGGTTTATGTCTTAAAATGGCCATTTGCTTTTGGATCTTGGAAAGGATAAAAATTGTATGTCTATGTTGAAGCTATCATTTTATCCAGAAGTCTACAGTCTTAAATTGAGTTTGCTTTCCTAATTAAAAGTCTAGCATGGTTCAGATTATTTTAAGTAAAGTGGTACAGCAGTAGTGGCTCACACGTGTAATTCTAGCACTCAGGAGGCTGAGGCAGGGGCATCACTAAGTTTCAGACCCGCTTGGGCTACAGAATTTCAAGGCCAGCCTGAACTACATTATGAGACTGTGTCTCAAAAACAAAAGCAAAACAATCCAATAAACTGTTAATACTCAGTTTTTAAATTTTTGTTGGGAATTTTTGTATCTGATATAAATATATGTAAATCAATATTTACAGGGCTGTCCTTTGATTGTTTTAATTAAAATTACATTATATTTGTAGTCTCTCTTTTTCATTTCCCAAGCAACAGTTTTTATAAACCTTGAAAGTTTAGTATACTCAGCTGTATATGTCACCTGGAGACATCCATGCTTTAGACTTTTTGTAAGAAGATTTTAAACATTTGGGTAAATTTCTTCTCTAATCAGTTTTATTATATTCAATTTTAAAAATTCTCTTCAATGAATAAATCAACACCTAGCTAAGTATTTTATTCAGATTTCATAACTATTCTTGTCATTCTGTAGATTAGGATAAATGTGTAAAAGGAGAGATTGGACTTGTTTACTGAATTTTAAGCTGCGGGGTATTCCTTGAAATTTGAAAAATATATTTTTCAGAATAAAATGGTATGAAGTATGTTATCCCCCAAATGCTGCTATTGTCTAAAACTGTAAGTTTAATAATAGTTTACATAAATGTATATATGATAGATGATTTAGTTATCATTTCTTAGGCTTAAGAAATCTTATGATCCTGTGAGTATAAACTTTTTGATTAAACAAATAAAACTAAGTTCTGCAATTTATACAGCTGTGCCCATGAAGGAATAGAAAGGTAAACAGATCATTGTTTACCGTTCTTTCTCTTATTTATTATTTATTTGTTTGTTTGTTTGGCACAGTGCTGGAAACTGATCCCAGGGCTTAGTGCACCCTAGACAAGCACCTTATCTAGGTGCTGCCCCTGGGTCCCAGCATATTATTTTATGGTTCTTTTGTCTTGAATTTTTGAAGTTCTTTCACTAGACTGTGTGTCCTTTTATGATCCATATTTGTTTTATCTGTTTGTTTATTTAGGCCTTAAAAAATTAATACCTTAAATATTCTTAAAATGGCTGACTTCTACTAGAATATAAAAAGGTTACATTTTCCTGATCTGTGTGTTTGTTTTTCTCTCCTAAGCGCATCTTTGAGCTTGTGATGAAAGGTACAAGGTGAACTGGTCAGTGTACAAGCATAGTGTTTGTTGGTAAAGAATAATGCACTGTTCTTTGGATGAACAGGCCATCTGACATGGAGCATCTCCTCGTTAAGTTGAATTCCTTAAGGATTAATGTTTATGGTGTTGGATCCTGTAACTCACATCTGATACATACACTTAAATACCTAAAGAGCTGGTAATCTGACTTGTTAGAAAAACAACAAAGAGTAGGACTTTCCGTATTTGAAATTAATCATATCCTTCTCTTTATCCCACACAGTATCAGACTTCTCTCAGTATGTGTCTTATCTTCCAGATGAAATAGAAATGTGGTAGAGGTCTTGACTGTTGAAATATTTTAAATACCGTTTTCTTATTTTGTTTTTTGAGACCGGCCTCACTGTATAGCCCAGGTTTGGTCTTGAATTCATGATCTTTCTGTCCCAGCCTTCGAAGTGCTGGGAATACAGGAGTGTGTTACTGTGCCTAGCTAAACATTGTTTTTGTTTTGTTTTTTAAACAAATTAGTATCAAGAACTTTTTGAAATAAAGTTGCTGTTTGTCATTTGAAAATGGATTATGGTTTTTATTTATTTCTATGCTGATTATTGCTGCTGCTATTGTTGTTGTTGTTATTTAGATCCCCAAGAGGTTTGTCTCATTCTCCTTGGGCTGTGAAAAAGATTAATCCTTTATGCAATGATCATTATCGGAGTATGTATCAAAAGAGACTGACTGATGAGGCTAAGATTTTGAAAAGCCTTCATCATCCAAACATTGTAGGTAAGTGTAAATTTTTTGGTAGCAGTAAGTAGTATGATACTATTCTGTATACCTATAAACAATATACCACTCTCAACCAGTTTCACTAATAAAAATGAAGTAGATGGCACTTGAGAATGCAGAGAGTCAAATTAATGTGAACAGTGCAAAATAAAAATTCACATAAAATATTTCTTAGATGATTATGTCTATAAACTTCATGTGGATAGGTAAGTCATTGCAGTGCTGGTACTATGAAGATTTCAGGAATACAAAATGATCTTAATGTAGATAATTTAGTCCACTGAGTTTGTTTTCAGTATGCATTTTTACTTATTTTATTTTTTTGCTCCAGTTTGCAGTTTTAGTACTGGTAGGGCTGTACTATTTGGGAAGCATAGAGTAGTAAAAATACTTTAGTTTGGGGTATAATTGCAAGCACCAAAGGCATTTTGCATAAGATCTGGTGAGTTAAATAAACAATAGGTGTTCAGTGTGTTAGTCTAGATTCATGTTTTTGTCACATTACATAAGTACTGTTCTTTCTTATGCTGCTAAAAAGTGTCATGTTTTCTTAAGGTTACCGTGCTTTTACTGAGGCCAGTGATGGCAGTATGTGCCTTGCTATGGAGTATGGAGGGGAGAAATCTCTAAATGACCTCATAGAAGAGCGATATAAACACAGCCAAGGTCCTTTTCCAGCAGCTATAATTTTAAAAGTTGCTTTAAACATGGCAAGAGGGTTAAAGGTAACTATTCCATTATACTTAAAACAACTTTTGTGGACTCTGAAGAAACTGAACACTTACTACCTAACGATAGGGTGGGATTTGTTTTACTTTATATTCTCCCAAAAGAGGGAGTTTCTTTAAATTTAAGTCTTTATAGTCTCATGTTGCAGAATGCACCCTTTCTTTATTTTGATCAGCAAATTATTGTTTGGAGCCCTCAGATAAGCCTGAGGTAACCCAACTCAGGTGGGTTTATAGTAGAGATCATATGTTAGACTTAGTTAAATAAGTTTAACATAAAGTTAGTAGTTGTCCCTAGGAGTATAAGCTAACCCCTACTGATACACGCAAACCTCTTAATGATTACTTTGTGGGATGTTAGGTTTGGACGTCATGAGTGTACATTGCATGTCCAATGACTGAAGCTTAGTGTTATGTGAAAAAAACCATTGTGCCTTTGGGTAGACATGCTAAAAGGAATAAAGCAGTTCTGTGTACTAAATCACAAGTAATAATGCTGCAGAAAACTACTACAGGACTCAAAAGGGATCCAGGCGACGATGATGATGATGGCAAAGTTGCATGGTAATTCAAATGAAATTGATTTATGCAACAAATTGGGAAAAAGAATATTTCTAAATACATATTTTAATACATTTATAAAAACCAATTTAAATGCATAGAATAAATAAAAAGATCGGCATTATTTAATCACTAGGGTTTTGAAATGTGTATGTAAAATGAAGTTAGTTACAGTGTGAACATATGGGCTTATTCCCTATGTGATGGGCAGCACTACACTCAGTACAGCTCGGTATCCCTGTGTAAAGAGCAGAGCTATACCAAAAATGGTCTCTGCACCATTTCCAAGCTGAGCTCATACAGAAATTCTCAAATCTGAAGAATGAACAAATAACCATTTTGCAGGACATTTTCAAAATCGTGAGTGACTGTTTTTACTTGCTAAATCCAAAAAAGGGGTTAACGCTGAGCATGGTATTGTGTGCATATAAACCCAGTACTTGCAAGGTTGGGGCAGGAGGGTTGCTACAAGTTCGAGGCCGTCTTAGACTACATAGTGAGATCCTGTCTCAAGGTGCAGGGGACACTAAAATGTTTAACAAAATACTCGTAAATACCTGCTTCTAAATTATATGTAGCCTAAATCGTGTATCAGTTCTGTATTATCTCAGTAGTTTGAGGAAGCTACTTCATTATGAAGATTCCAAAATTACTTACAAAAATACTAGCCTCAAGTAAAACTGCAGTATTTTTGACATCTGCTGTAGCAACTTCTGATATAAAAGTATACGGGATAAGTTAACTTACTTAAATAAAGAGACATTAATGCCAGGTATGGTGGTGCATGCCTATAATCCCAGCACATGAGAGGCTGAGGCAGGAGCATTGCTGCAAGTTCAAGGCCAGCCTGGGCTACATAGTGAGACCCTGTCACAAACAAACAAGCAAACAGACATTTTAAAAGAATCTTTTAGTAATAACATAGGATGTCCCTGTGCCTGACTTCAAAGTATTTGAAATTATGGCCAAGTCTGTAGTTTAGGTAAGAATTCAGATCATTTTTAGTTGAAGGTTTTAGTTTTATTCGTTTGTATTTCTGCTCATGGGTGCTAAATTTTCTATAATTTTAGTATCTGCACCAAGAAAAGAAACTTCTTCATGGAGACATAAAATCTTCAAATGTTGTAATTAAAGGTGATTTTGAAACAATTAAAATCTGTGATGTAGGAGTTTCCCTTTCATTGGATGAAAATATGACTGGTAAGTTATATTGTTTAAAATTTTATGATATTGGAAATGTTTTAATTTCTCATTTTTACATTTAAATACATAATCTTCATAGTACAAAATTTTAAGATGACTGTGAAGTATGTAATAAGAATTACCCTTTTTTTCTATCTTGCCTCTCCTCAGCCTCTAGTCCCTTTCATTGCCACATGCACAAATATAAATTATTGGCTCCTTGTGCTTGAAGTATATACTTTCACCAACATTAACATTGGGAAAGATTTTTAATCTGGATTAAGATCTTTAAACTGTAAGGCATCTGGGAATGGAAAGTAAAATTTGATTAAGGTTTTGGGTTTTTTGTAATACTGGTGATTGAACTCAGGGGGTTGCACTTGGCAGGCAAACTCTCTACTACTGGGCTATATCTTCAGCCCCTTTTGAGACAGGGTCTCACTGAGTTGCCCAGACTGGCCACAGACTTGTGTTCTTTCTGCTTTCCCTTCCTGAGTAGTTGGGATCACAGATGTATGCCACTGGCTTAATAAAATATAAAACAAATTCACTAAGCTAAGTAAAGTGATGAGATTTGGGAAGCTTAGAAGAAACAAGTAAGTTAGGAAAGACAATGCTAGTAAAAGCCAGTCTTCTGCTTTTCGTTCCTTGGTCCAGCCCAGCCCCTCATCCACTTTTTGTATGCTGACCATTCGCTGCTCAGAAATTTAAGGTTTGTTTTGGTAAGAGCCAAAAGCTACTGTTAAGAGATTGCTTGTGCTTTTAACATGTAACATTTACATTTGTCTCTCTGTGAATGTAAGTTACAGCAATGGACTGTGCTTGATGTTTAGAACATATGTAAAGTTTAATTTCTAGCAAAGGTAAGTTTATTAGTTGTTGGAGGCAGAAACTAGGGTAGAAGAACTATAATGATGTCTGTAATTGTTAATAAAACTTGAACTCTTGTGAACTTCATGCTGAATCACTGCTACAAAGGTGAATCTTTAAGAAATTGTCAAGCATAATAAAAATAAGCTCTTCAAAGTGTAATTTTTTCAAATCTTAATAGAGCAAGTAGGTAAAGGTAATAGTATAAAAAATCTAAGTAAGGTTGATCTCTGCATTAGAATATTTATTAAAATTAGGCTGGGCATGGTGGTAAATATCTGTAATCCCAGTTGCTTGGGAGGCTGAAACAGAAAGGTCATAAGTGTGAGGCCCTGGGCAATTTAGCAAAACTCTGTCCTCCCACCCCCTAAAACAATTATTAAAATTGACCACATATTAGGTAAGTCACGAAAGCAAACTTAACATTATGAAAAGTAGTCTCCAATAGTTGACATTCACTGATGTCAGTGATATAAATCCAGAGCTTTTTATCACAAGTGGAAACAAAAAATCCAGTTTTTTTTTTAAGGAATATAAAACACTTGTAAATAATTCTTGACAAACAGGAAATCAAATTTCAGTTCAAATATTTAGAAAATAGGCATGCTATACACCAAAAAATAAAAGGCCCAATCAAAAAAATGAGCAATTGAAATGAAGAGATGTCTCAAAGGAACAAGTAAAAGTGGGTAATAAGTACATGAAAAAATATTTAACATCTTTGGCCCTTTAGAGAACCACAAATCAAAATCCATATTACTCCAGAAAAAATAGCTATCATCAAGAATTCAGATCTTAGCAAGTAACATTTATACTTGTACATAGTAGTGAGGTTGTAGGGGAAAAATGGACCCCTTTGGCCTTGTTGGTGGCAATGTAAAGTCTCAAATAGATGAATGGGTAGGGGAGACTGACATTTTATTCACAGTGTGGAATATTGTGCTTTTTTTTTTTTTTTTTTGGTGGTACCGGGGATTGAACTCACAATCTTGCACTTGCCAGGCAGACGCCTATGCCACTGAGCTAAATTCTATGGTCCCTGTACTGTGCTTTCTAGATTAAACTTCAGTCACTTACAGGAAGACCATATTTAAGTGAAATCAGTCAGACACAGGTTAAGCATTATATGGTTTCTCTTACATGAAAAACTCAAGATATAAATAAAAAGCAAAATAAAAGATAGATGATAGGAAACAGAGAGAAGTAAACTTTGTGGAGATGGGAAATGGAGTAAACGTAAGATACAAAATGTATATGTACCAATTTCCCAAGATGAATATAATTACTATTGAAAACAAAAAAAACATTGAAAGCAAAAAAAAAAAAGATGACAAATCAAAACCTATTTGATATATTTGAGAGTACTCAAAGGAAAACATTTCTATGAAACTGAAATGAGTATTCATCTTAGATGTAAAATAGATGGAACCCTAAGGAGAGCAGAAATGAATGAATGATAATTTTACCAAAATCCCCTTGTGATCTGTTTTTAGAGCATGCTAAAGTGAATCTAAAGTTCCTTGCCAGGCATGGCAGCAGATGCCTGTAAGTAACCTCAGTTCTCAGAACTTGGGAGGCTGACACAGGAGGACTGCTGCGTTCAAGGCCAGCCTCGAATACATAGTGAGACCCAGCCTCAAACAGTCCAAACAACAAAGTTCATCCTTGAGCATATATTCAAATACAGCCAGGGAGATTCTGTGAGAAAACGAGGAGGAGGAATCTTTTGACCAGATGCATAAAAGCTGGGGCTGGGTGCATTTGCACAAGCATGTTATCCCAGCTACTTGGAAGGCTGCAATGACATTTTTTCATTAATTTTGATAAGATGATATAACAGGAAATATAGAAATGGTGATTATATCAGATTTATTCATTGGGCATCCCTCTTTCTGGGCATCCTTGTGTCCCTTTCCAATAGAAGCTTTCTCTCAAAAAATTATTTCTACTCTTAAAAAAATTATTCAGTATAAGATTACTGGTTGAAATGATGTCTGCTCAAGCAATTCTCAGGAGAGTAATCAAGTAAATAAACACTGCCTGAGTGACACTTGTGAACTGTTGCATGTTCAAGAGACCTTGTCACGGCAGAGTAGGGGGAGGTTGTGAGCATAATATGGTGGGAAGCCTGGGTTTGATGTTAAATACTGATTAAAAAATGTGTAAAAATTCAATAATTAAAGCAGTGATATGCATGCCAGAACAGTCAGAACATAGTAAGGTAGTCAAGACATTGAGAATTTATCCCAGTTCAGGAATGCGTTATGTGATTCGGTGACATTTTTATGAGGAAGAGGTATCAAATGATGTTAGCTGTTAGCTGAATATATTCTGTCCCAGCATTTTAATAACATGTTCCCTCTGGCTTCAACCACCAGTGGTACATACGTGACTGTCCCATCAGGTGGCTTGTACTACTGGTGGTACAAATGAATCTAATCACTTTTTTATTGTTCTTACTAAGCAAATTATAAAAAGTCACCCAACAGGACAGTCACACACCATCAATGGTTCAAGCCACCCAGCAGCAAGCCGTACGAATTACGACCCCATCATGAATGTGTTAATCCTCGTAGACTGAAGATTGTGGAAAAAATTAAAATAGAAAAATTGTAGGTAATGTTTCCTTAATTCTGGGCTTGAAGAGACTTTAAATACATTACTTACCAAAACTGGAAACTACTTTTTTAAAAAGCTTCAATTATTTGTCAGTTTTAAAAGTGTTCTTGGATGTGGCAGTAGGAAGAAGGCAGGGAGGTTAAGACATCACCAACTGAGAAAATGATTAAGGGTTAATATTTCTAACGTGCAGAATTATCAATGAGAAAAAGATTAAGCTATCATGAATACTGTTGAGAAATGAAATACTAAAATGACATAGTTAGGTAGGAAACTTTAATGTGCAAAGGCTGAATTAAATTACTGAGCCCGTGAGTCGCTGTTGGCATTATCACAGTCCTCCTGTTAGCGAAGCTCTTTATCAGACTGCAGTTCTCATGCATACTAAGTGCACTCATCTTGAGGAGCTGGTCCACGCTCATATTACACCCCACCTGTTCATTCCCCTTCTCTGCCTCTTGCCTCCCCACCCCAGCTCCTCTTCCTGCCTGCCTGCTCTCTCTCATGACAGTTTTACTTTTTCAGTGACTGATCCTGAGGCCTATTACATTGGCACTGAGCCGTGGAAACCCAAGGAAGCATTGGAGGAGAATGGCATTATTACCGACAAGGCAGACATATTTGCCTTTGGCCTTACTCTCTGGGAAATGATGACTTTATCCATTCCACACATTAACCTTAATCTTACAGATGATGATGGTGACGACGGTAGGAACACAAATTTTATGTTTTAATTTTTTTGTGGAGATTCAACTTCTAGGCAATTGCTCTACCACTGAGCTACATCCAGAGAATGAATACCAATTTTTAAAACATAAATTGCAATTTCATGACACTAAGATTAATTTATAAAATTATCTTTCCATTAAGTTAAAATTTAAGAGAGGTTGAGTAAGGGAAGTAGTTTGTAAGGTAGAGTTCATTAATACTGTGACACTAATTTGATTAATTTCATGTAAGTGATCATAGATTGAGAAACAGATCAGTTGAGATGTAGAAGAATGAATTAAAATTGTCCTTACCTGAGAAAAAAGATAGAGGATTACTATAGGGAGGGGTAATGGTCATAACCTACAAATCTAAGACTAATGTACTCAGTGTCAGGATGGTGGGAGAGACAGTCCATGGTATAAGAAAAAACCTAGGTGAAAAGCTGTTGCAGGAGGATGTGTTAAGTTTTCCATGACACTAACTGCTTATATTGTTTCAATTTCCAATACCTTTATGAGTAGATACAACTTTTGACGAAAGTAACTTTGATGATGAAGCCTACTACGAAGCTTTGGGAACCAGGCCACCTATTAACATGGATGAACTGAACGAATCATACCAGAAGGTAATTGAACTCTTCTCTGTGTGTACTAATGAAGACCCTAAAGCTCGCCCGTCGGCTGCACACATTGTTGAAGCTTTGGAACTGGATGGTCAGTGATCGTGTTCTTGATGACCTCCGTGTAAAGTACATACCTGTTCGGTTTTCTTGGATGTTTTTATGATCTTCAGTTATTACCCTCTAGAAGTGGCTATTTGAGGTCCATAATGCCCTGTTAGTTGTGAATAGTTAACAAAAGGATATTTGTGTTCTTATGTTGATAAGCACTTAGGATACTGCGTTTTCTGTGAAGTTCAAAGAAAGTAAATCCTTATATGCAAGTAGTTTGTTACTCCGCAGACTTTTAAAACACTAGCACTCAAATACCATAAACTGTCCTCACATTAATTTGAGTGGCCATTCTTTTATCTTTCTTAACATATTCTCTATTTTAGTGGATTAAAATTAGCACTTTATACACTGCAAAGTAAATCTGTATTATATTTTAAAATATCAAAACTTTTGCTGGCATTGTTTCCATTTCTGGTGCCTTTGTGAGTAGGACCACTTTTGATGGAAGTGACTGATGAGGAAGCACACTGCAGCGTGGCTTATTAAATGGCCACAGAACCTGAGAGTATAACAGAGTAGCTGCTTGGGTATTTCTAGACTCTTTGGCTACAGCTTGTCCTGCTGTCTTGGATTCATGTTTAATTTAAATGTATTTCCTGTACTAAGATTCCTGTTTTAGCTTTTATTTACTAATATGTATCTTAAGTATTTCAAAGTGTGGTGTAAAAATAATAAAACCCAAATAGGACAAATAAATATAAATAAAATATAGCTTTGGTACCAAAAGGTGTGTCAGCATTATCTTATTCTATATTTTTTTTTCTTATTTTATACTTTAACTGATTTGAATGTTATTGTTAAATTTGTTGAGTGAATATAATAGGTTTCTTTACCTCTCGGCCTTATTTTGCTAATCTGTAAAGTGAGGTTGGCTTGGGTCAGTAGTTTCTATGAGCTTCAGCCCTCTAGAAATTTTTAATTGATTAAATTATAATTGTAAGTCTAGGTATTATGCCCAGATACAGATAGAATTTTCAAGATTATTGTCACAAGAGGGTTCTTAGAAAAATTAGGAACTACTGCAGTCCTGAGCTTTAAAAAGTCACTGGAAAGTTCCTTTTAGTATCAGATTATACCAAGCAACAGTGCAATTAGCATATCTTCCATCAAAGTATTATTAAAATGACAAGTTAAAAGTTGACTTAATATGTAATTTTTATTCCTAATAATCTTACATGCTCACTTTGACTTAAATACTGTATCATTCTTCATAGATTTGCCAAACTAGTAAAGCAGCTGCTTTGGGGCCATTCTAAAACAGTGGTGGCGAAGCTATGGCCCATGGGCCACACTGGGGGTGAAGAGCCCTGTGCGGGCAGTGAGCCGAGTCAGCCAGACGTTGAATCAGGTTTTTCTAACCTACAGCCTCAGTGCTGAGGTTTAATTGCAGTGTTGGCACTGCAATAAATGAGTTTGGGATTGCAGTCTGGGGATTCATCGCTGAAGGGCACGCCATCACTGTCCCAGGACTAGTCATTAAGTCATAAAGTATGAGCTGGGTTCTTTTTAACACACAAACCAGTCTTTCCAGTGAGAAATGTGCTTCTAGTTTCTACTGGTGGGACATCTGAAAGAAAGCCAACTAATGCCAGGGCCTGAGCTAGCAAATAAGAGACATCACAAAATAGTCCCTGCAGCTCTTCCTTCTGAACCTGGATAGGTCCTAGAAGTCCTCAACACAAGATGGCAGGCAGCTTGCCAGGAGCCGTGAGAAAATGACTTTTATTCTTGTTCTAAAACAGTCTCAGATGAAAGCCTTGGTCAACTGCCTCATCCCCAGAGCAATAAGAACAAGACTCTTGCTTAATTAGCTAGCAAGTGAAAATCACCTCTCAAGTGGTTTACCTCCCAGAATATTTGCCTTTACAGTATAACACCTCTAGTTGACATAATCAGCAGCTGCCTAAGAAATGTTAAGAACTATTCTTTCTTAGTAGCTCCTTTTTTTTTTTTTTTTTTTTTTTCTTTTTTGGTCTTTTTGGGGATTCATCTCTTAAAAGGTATGCCATCACAGGCTCACTATGCAGTACAGGCTGGCATTCACTTTGTAGGCCAGGCTGGTCTCGAACTTGGAAAAATACTCATGCCTCAGCCTCCCAAGTGCTAGGGTTACAGGTGTGCACCAGCACCCTTGACTATAATTTGAATCTATAAATGCAAAAACTATTTATAAAAAACATGTGGGAATACAGCAAATGATGTAGAAATTTTTAACCTTAAATAGTGTATTAAGGAGGGCCGAAATACCAGCTATAAAAATTAGGCTGCTGTAATTAAGAGGCTTAGAATATTTCTGATAGTTGTGGAGGCTGAAGTTCAGGATGTTACCTCAATGAGGGCATATTTCTCACAGAGGGCACCTTTTAGCTCTTGCTCGCATGGCCAAAAGTTCCGCCTTGTTTAGTGAGGGCACTGATCCTATCCCCAGGGCTTCTCCCTCATATGCTAACAGTTCCCAAGGCCCCACCTGCTGGGTTAGGGTTCCAACAGGAATTTGGTGGGGACATAAACATTCAGACTATAAGAAAGAAGTTTTAAAGAAAAAGAATTTAAAAACAAAGTACCATAAAAGATATAGAAAATTGCAAAGCCTGTAACAGAAGCAAACGTTATTAATATGACCAAAATATAAAATGGATAAGCCTGAAGAGATACAGAAAGAAAATATACTGCAGATATAAAAAATGGAAACTACTGACCCTACAGATACAGAACCTCATTCAGTAACACATGAAGTTCTACATTATTCTGATAGAATTTTTTACAATAAAAAAGGCTTATAGCTGCATGCAGTATGGATGCATCTTACACGGATTCAATTCACAGAAGTTTAAAAGCAGATTAAATTGTTAGATGTTAAAAACAGTTTATAAGATTGGGGATTTACCTCAGTGTGTAAGTGCCTCCCTGGCAAACACGAGGTCATGAGCTTGATCCCCGGAACCAAAAAAGTTTGAATAAGAGGCAACAGATTCAAAAAGTTAGAAGAAAACTAGGTGCCAGCAATGTTTTTTTTTAACCTGGGTATTTATGAAGATGATCTGCTTTGATAACACTGAACTGTACATTTTTAAAAAGATAAAGAATAGTTTCAGATTTACAGACAAGTTGCAAAAATAAAAGTACCCATATGCTCCACACCCTACTTCCTATGTTAACATTTTTTACATCACAAAGTTTATGCCATGATTAATGAACCAATATTGAAATGTGACTCAATAAAGGCCACACTTTACTCAGATTTAGTTTTCACTTCATGTACATTTTCTATTCCAGGATACATTACTTTGAGGAGTCATATCCCTTAGCTGTAGTGTCAGATTTTCATTGTTTTTGACACTGACAGTCAGAAGGTGTACTGGTTGGTACTTTATGGAAACCTCAAATGGGATTGTCTGATGCTCATTCTGTGTGCTTTGGGAGGAAGACAGGTAAACTATGTTTCTCGTCACACACCGTCCAAAGCCAACATGAGAAGCCTGGATGCTGACTCACCTGGCACAAGCAATGCTTGTCAGGTCTCCTTCCCACACAGTACTTCTGAGAAGTCATTATGCACTGTCCTTACTTAGGAAGTGAGGAGTTTCATGGAGGTATCAATATAGATTTTTTAGAATTTTTATGTATAGGGTTGGGGATTTAGCTCAGCGGCATGAGTGCCTACCTTGCAAGTGCACAGTCGTGAGTTCAATCCCCAGTACCAAAAAAAAAAAGAATTTTTATGTACAGACTTATTATTTTCCATTTACTCAGCACTTTTATTGCTCATCTTATTCCAGATTGGCCATTTGGAACTCTTCTGATTGCCCTGTGTCCTTCTGACAGGCCTCCATTATTGTGGGTTTCCTTTTTAAGCGCTTTGCAACTTTGACACTGTAAGATACTCTAGGCTCATCTTACGCCTTCACTGCCCCAACCCTACGATGGAACATTTCTCCAAGGAACTCCAGTTCTTTTTTGTAAAAAGGTATTAGAAGCCAAAATCTGGCTGCTACTTGTGTTCCTTGCTATTAGGTATCTGCATGTGGGCCCCAAGTATACTTCCAGTATATTGTGCTTTGATCAAAATAATAAACAAGATGTGATGGCACATTCCTGTTCCCAGCACCCAAGAGGCTGAGGCACGAGTTAAAGGCCAGTTTGGACTACATAGCAAGACATTTTCTCAAAACAACATAAAAAAAAACCCCAAACTACCACCAGTATCAGCTGTAAATCATGCATGCATTTAAAATAGACAGCTGCAGTACTTAAGACATACTTAAGTAAATCAAGTTGCAAATTTTGAATGTATTTAAATTAATATGAAGAAATGTTTGTACCCATTCCCAAGGAAATACTATGGGGAAGCTGCTTCCCTTGGCAATCACTGTATCCCCCCTCCCCCACCCAATTTTGTTCCCACAGAGTATCAACTACTTGTATAATGATTAAATTAGACTCTAGAAGGCTGAGGCAAGAGAAACAATTTAAGCCCAGCCTTAAACAATTTATCCACTTATAATTAAGTAAATAAAATCAGACACTTGTCAATTGCATTAGAGAACAAATTTTAATGATTCATCATAAAAGCATTAACCAAAATATTGTTCATAAAATTTTTAAATAAATTTAAAAACAGCAGTGCAGAAAACAGCATTAAAATGTTCGCATAACTGCAGTCATTTAAACATTCCCATATTCCTTTAGAACACCAGCTTTTAAGTTGTAGAACTACATCAAGTTATAGGTAAAAAAGACTATATCTGAACAAAGCAGACATAGAAAACTACTTCCTTGCAGTTTTACTGGCAGAGAATAGTTTTAAATGACTTTTTAAAAACCCCTCAAAACATACTGAATTACCTTTTGCTTTTCAAAGTATCCAAACATTATCCACAATAGTATGTGTACACTTAGGTGTACAATGTTTGCAGGCTGTCAGTCTTCTCTGGTCCATTCAGCTCGGGTACACTTAATGACCTTGGTCGGTCATCACAGATTTTGCAAAGACTTGCCAGACAGTTCAACGCAAATGAGGTGCATTTTAAACAAGCAAAAAAATAAAAAAAAGAACCATGCAAACATGAAAACAAATGAATCATTCAGCCCAAGAGGCATTCATTTTGTTAATTACCACAACTACCAGTAACAAGTTACCTAAATTTAAGCAGCAGTATTTCCATGTAGTACATATTTCCATGCAGTACAAATTAGTGATGTGACAACAGCGCACTAAGTATAATTTCAATTAAATCTGACAGTTGATATATATTTGACTGGCTTTTCAAAATGATTAAAACAGTAAACTACACATCTGTTTTGCATAAATGGATATGGCATGTTACTCCTTCCTTACCATCTTTTTTTAGTACTAGTTAGAAATTCAAGTCTAAAGACACTGAACTGAGAACTACTATTGATATCTCATGTAAAGTGAGAACCCTGTATAGAGAATTCAGAAATTATCTTTTAAAACTGGGCATAGACATTATTTGCCTGGGTTTAGGTTTGTTTCTCTGTGTCTCATGACACAAGAGAATCCTGGTCTATGCTGCTTTATAAAAGGTAAGTGGTAACATTTCTGCAGAAACCAGGTTGCTTTGTCCTTGGAAATTTTCCAGCTACAGGTATCATGTTCCATAATTACAGACTCAAAGAGTGCTGGTCAGTGTACTGTCAGAAGATTTTTTCCTTTCAACATTTCCTTGACTTTACAAATCATAAAGAACATAACTATGGGGAGG